ATACTACAAGATCTGCCACATAGTAAATGTTTAATAAATTTTATTATTATTTTGCTACATGCGGAAAGATGACTTTGAAACATGATGATAGAAACTATATTTCCTGAACATGTACTGTTATGCCAGGCACCATGTGAGTACTTTACATGCATTATCTAACTTGACCCTTAAAACGTTGTTAACCCATTTTACAGACAAAACAATTAAGGGGGAACATTCTCTAGTCCCAAGCATTTCAAAGATACTATACTTTTTTCTATCTCTTTTGAACTACTCTAGGCTTAAAGAGGAGATTCAGAGAAAAAGACATAGCCTATATCTAAGTTAAAAATAATAATCTGGTGAGAAATTTCCCTCCATTATGGCAGATATTACCACATTAGACATAGTTTTTTTCCTAATACTTCCATGAATTACAATACTACTAGATGAAATTATATAAATCAATTCATTGATTGTGTCTTTTAAAGATCTATTTCACCCTACATTTTTAAACAGATTTGGAATCTGGCATTTTTGTTCCATTTCTGGCTAATAATCAGTTTGATTTGTTTCTGTTGTATGATGTCATAGATGATAAATTTGAAGCTTATGTCCTCTAACTTCATTCCTTAATAATAATAATAAAAAATTTAAATGTCCAGAAATAAATAGAAATATTTCACAATATATGTACAATAACTATAAATAAGCTAAGTATACACAAGATCTGATCAAGGCCAAAGTTAAAACTCTAATTTTAATATGAACCAAATCTCACGTGTGTGAGTATATGTATGTGTGTATAAGGCATGAAGTTTTGTTTGACTTGGAAAATATATGATAAAAGTAAACATTAAATATTTACTTCATCATGTTATATACATCATAGAATATATACTAATATAGTAACTCTCAGGTTTCTATTCCAAAGAAAGGAAATATTTGAAAAAATTGTGCGATTCACAGAACTTCTTGAAAATGAGAAATCATAAAAGTTTAGTGAGTGAATTAGTGAGTGAATTAAAATTAGAACCCAGTTGTAGAATGCAACAGTCAGATTCACAAAAATGTTTGTACAGATAATCCTCAAACTGCTTAATTCATGAAGAGAGCTCTAAGTACTGAGCATGTCTCCAAAGAGCAGGGCTCAACATTAAGAGACAGTCTGATTTTCAGCATTAATATAAATAGTAACCAGAAAGAAAATTCTAAAATGCAGTCAAAAGTTTGATAATATTGATAACATTATATAATCAGCTATGTGGCTATTGTTAAAATTCTTTTTTTAAAAAAAAGGAAAATTGAAATTTGTGGTGCCATTATTACTCCATTAGTATCATTACAGAAAAACATTTTTAACAAAAATTTTTAATGTTCTTTAATAAAATAAAAATTTTCTAAGATATTTTATAAATAAATATTTTTTCATTCTTAAAAAACAAATCAGCTATCAGAGTATATGTCAATATTATTCTCTTAAATTTTAAATTATTGTATCCTTATAGTTAAGATGTATGTATGTCCTTTTAGTTTCTCATATATATAGTATATGTGAAACTAAATACATATGCAATGTATTGTATATGTATTCATATATACAGTCTAATATAGTATATATTTATATATATAGTGAATATATACTGTATAATATGTATTCCATATATCTGAAACTAAAGGGACATAGGCACATCTTAACTATAAGGTCCTGGTAATTTAGAGCTTGAAAGAGTAATATTGTTATGTAATCTGATATGCATGTATCTTGTAGTTTTTCATATATACCTATTTCTACCATCACATTATTAACAAGGAGAATGGTTCTGCATTGACCAAGGATTCTCACCCAGAAACACATGGTTCTTTAGAATTTAATGGATGAGACTTGAAAGATTTATAAAATACCCAGACTCAATATAAAATTTGTGTGCGATATTTTACACCTCTCTGATGAGTGGCTCTCCAACTTTCCTAAAGGTTAAGAACAACTATCAGAGATAGAAGAAAGTCAATAGAGAAAGAAAGAAATTGAGAGATGATGGAATAGTGGGTGCATGCCCCATGGTATGGTGTCTGGTTTTTAAATCCTACCTCTCCCACATGGCTGTGGAATCCTCTTTAGGTTTCTTTATTTTTTGTTTAATTTTAATAACAATTGATGTTTATTAAAATGGAAAGTGTTTTGTTAATTATTTGGATTCCAAATCTTGCAATATTGCAAATAAGGACTCACTAATGTAATATTAAATATTGACAATATATTAATAAACTATAACTTATTCATCAAATTACAGGTGACATGAAAACATTAGGGATTTATGTTTTGTTTAAGTCTTTCCTTCCATGTAATTGTTAGGTGAGTAATAGTGGATGAACTAGGATTACTACTAATGTTTGACAAATGCTTCTGTTACACTGAATAAGTGCGACATATTACCTTGTGTATTTTTTGAAAGACCATCGTAAATATTTTAAATCTTCCTTTTTTAAAAATTTTAATCCAAAATTATTCAGAGATGACTGTGATACTATGCAGAGTAAACTTCCCAAGTAGATTTTATATACACTTGTCAGGTGCTATTGCAGAAAAGAATGGTTGAACTCATTAAATGGTTGAACTCAGCAGAATTACGTATATCTCATCACAGCTACATGGAATGACCCAAATATCCAGGGATTTAGCAATGTATACAAAGATGGCCATGACAATTTCTGAGTCATAGTTTTACAGTTTAGGATATATGATACCTATTTTACATTCAGGTCATATTCAGATGATATCTATTTCACTATGCATAATACAAATGTCATCATACATTTTAATCACATACTGAGAAGATACAGATATAAACTATTTCTATAAATTATGATTAATCATAAAATGATTTGCTCCACCTTTTGAATTTTCTATTAGTTTATTCAAACAAAGGAGATATATACAGGCACTAGTTATGAATAAAATTCACCAGGAAAATATGACTTGTATTTCAGATATTTGGAGTTTGAATATTATACTCATTGAATCACTGAGTCAATAAAGAAATTTATTTCATGCTCCAGAATAAAACAAATTTAAGATAAATGTGCTAGGTTGGCTCTAGGAACAACTTCAATATTGAAGCAATATTGACTTATATGCATATAGCAATACACATATATTGCTTTTTGAATCACTTTTAATGTGAGTAATACATATATCTTTAATGTCATTTAAAGTCTTGTTCAGTGAAAAATGGTAACTCTGTTTGACTTGCCTTTTCTGAGTCAATCATGAAACTGTTTAATGAATTAGCTGAGATATAGTAAGAAAGAAAAAGTTGTTTAGTTTTGCTTTACTCAATAGAGATACGAGAGTAAGTTCTTTTCAGGTAGTGAGTGGCCAAAATCACAGTGCCATTTCCTACTTCACATTGTGCCCACTAAGTAATACAGATTTGGTCACCATGTTCTTAGCATTTTTTTTCAGGGATGTCACACGCACTGCGGAGGAGCTGAGTAGGTAGGTGCTTGATCTCTCGATAGGACTTCCTTCCACAACAGAGCTGGCTATTGAAGTGCCTCCTGCAGCTTTCGCTGAGCAGATAAAGAGTAAATGGATTGACACAAGAACTGCAAAAGCTCAGAACCCAGGCCACTAAGGTGACAATCACGTGGCCTAGAGATGGGTCAATCTCATTATAGTTGAAAGACCTATATACATGTAAAGGATGTGATTTGGAAACCAGCAGAAGACAAAGCAGCACACGAAGACCAGCACAATTTTGGCCAGGCCTTTCCGTGTTTCCATCTGCAAATATAAGGAAATAGTCCCACTGATTAAAATGAAAACGGAGGCGGCCACATTCTAAAACACATCATGGTACAAAAGATGTAAAACTTAGCATGCAAATGCATCCAAAAGCACAAAAAGGATTTTCCTAGTCAAAGTAATGATTTTAACAATTTGATGAAGCCTATTTTGGTCACTATACTAATTTCACTTTAAAATATTTGACAGTTTATAAATGGGTATGCCTTCATGTTAAAACTGTAATCTTGAAAAATTTCTTATTTTTAACTCTTTTTCCTTTGCTTAAAGTCTTATTGTGATCACTATAAATATAAATCATTTGTTTGTATTAAATCCATTGAATTAATAAACCACAGAATATATTCAAGCTTAGAAAATTTTTAAATCAGACTATTTTAAATAAGAAATACTGATCTATTGAAAAAGGGCATGACTTTTTTAAAACTCTTATCCACAAAAAAAAAAAACCTTGAGATTTAATTTAAACTCCTGACTCTCATAAATCAAAATAATCTGACATAATTATCATTTCTATAAACATTACTATGTTTGGCTGCCTAACCTTAAAATAAAAATAAAAACATTTTCTATCTTTTCATAAAATTCACCTCCTATGTTTACTGTTTTATAAGAAGGTCTTCAGGAATGTGATAAATAGACAAAATTCAAATATGGGACATTAATCTTTTTAAATCTAAAAATCATTTTCTAACATCTAGAGTCCAAAGTTTAGCTCACATTTGTCTAATTTGTTTGAATATTTAAATAAGGCAACATGAAAGTGAAAACATAATTTACTAAGATATTTATAGTAGACAACATATTTTCTGAGATAAAAGTATTGGTAGTTAACTAGAATATACCAGAGAAGTCTGGAAAGGTTTAGGATTGAAACAGATCTGACACTGGGGAGTAAGTAGTAGTGAATGGTGACAGTAAACAAAGGTGCAAGTGAAAAGGAATCTAGTTCAAGAAGCAGAATGTGGTACTCCAGATGTATCCCAGTGGCATAAATTAGGCAACTTGGCCTTATAAATGAGGTGGATGTGAAATTTACATTACTAAGCACAGTCCTCCCTAGCAGGTGGAGCATAGGTGCAAGAATTTCACAGCAGTCTATGCTTGGAGATTCAAATGTATAAGTAGGCTGTTAGCATTGAGATTACTTCTTGGCAGATGTCAAGCCCAGTTACCCAGCCAGAGTTTATAAGTCCCAATAGGGAAATTCACATACACACACACACACACACACAAAAGTCAGAACTAAGGCCACTGAAAAACAAAAAAGTGGAGGTGGGGAAGATCAGAGGAACTCAACTTTAGAAACCAAAGCAAAAACTCAGATACCCAAACTGAGATACAAATTGGATCACAGGGCTCTGAATAAATGGATTGTATATAAAGGGAAAAGTACAGTGAGCCTGTGACCCAGACATTTTTGCTTCAATGATGCCAGGTATTGAGGTAATAAATATATTACTTTTTCTAATAATTACTTTAATGACTGGTATTTTTTAAGCCTTTAAAGCAGATGTGGATCACTGATGTTTATGGACCTCAATAAATAGAGGTCACCATCTGCACAGAGAAACCTTAACCAGATTTAGTGCCCAAAGCCCCAGCCTGTGCCTCCATCTACAGCCCATCAAATTTTAATCATCTGTGATTCAACTTGTTTTCATTCAAACTGGGGAGCAGGCACCCATGACCTCCCCGTACCTACAGAACCCTTTAGAAAAAGTTCCTCACTAGGAGTGCACAAATGTACAACTTGAAACTGTCCCATAACTGCAGTATTTCCATCTTAACGCAACTGGTTTTACCTTACATTAGTACTATGTATTCTTTAGAGAAGAAAAAGTACATAAGGTGCAGGTCATAGTTTTAAAATTAGTATGTAATATTTATTTATTGGAAAAGCTATAAAGTTGAATTAGACCAAGTCCTATTTCAGCAACAGCCCACCTTCTGATCACTCTCACTATTGCTCTGCTGCCCTCTGTTCCCAGTCTCTCATTTTGGCATCTTAGCCAAACCTCATCCCCAGACCCCAGCAGTGTCCTACAGTCCTTTCCTGATGCGTCCTTCCTCCAGACTTTCTGTCATCTTTAGTGAGCTAATGGGAGAAGAAAAAATAATTGAATAAATATATACTTATAATGTGAAATTCTTTTCTGGTTTGTTATGTGTTTCTTTGCATAAACGTTTGCACATAAAGAAAAGCCACCAGAAACATTAATTTCAAATGAGCCTAGGCCCAGATGTCAGATAAGCTGGACCTCAGTGGGCTCTTAGAGCTAACACATGGCCACATATTAGAGAATATCCAACATCCCTTCCAGTTCAGGCTAGTGCGTGTTCCAGTGCCCTTCTGACTGTTCTAATCATTCCTGATATTGAAAGCCCATGAACTAGAACTCAAAATAGCACCTACTGCTTCTGCCCAGCTTGACCCCAACACACACACCTACCGAGCTTACCTGTTTTTTGGTATGTTCATTGTATTCTCCCAGAAGATTATGTGCACTTTTAATTAAGTCCTTGCAATATGATAATAATAAATACTGATAATAACAAGTGGTATAAGGAAGTAGACCAAGAAGAGGAGCACTGAATGAATCTTTGGATGTAATTCATCAGTCTGAGGCTAGGGTATACGTGCCGTGAAGCTGCCGTTATCCAAGTCACCGATGTGTGCCACTTGGGAAAACACGGCTTCTGGAACAGCCAACAGCACCGAGACCACCCAGATACCCATGGCCTTCACACAGGTCCACAGCACCTCTCCTGATGTCTGGATATCCATGGGGTTTACAGTGGCTCTGTACCTGGACAGATAATACATTTCAAATTACTCTCTTAAGAAAGAAAAATTAAAAAGAGAAAGGAAAAGAGAGAGAGAGACCTTACTAAAAGAGAGGTGCCAACACCCCATTATTCCCAGGCTGTTATATACTGTGTGGAATAACTAAGATCCTTGGTGTCTCTCTGTCTACAAGTCATTCCACTGCTTATTAGCACAGAAGACATGAAGAGAAAAGCAAATATTTTAAATTGTCATTTCCCAAATTGCAGTAATTTACTTACCTCCTTCACAAGTATTTTCTAAATTTACACGTACTACAAGTATCATTGAATATTTTTATTTAAATACTTTTATTTCCAAAAAATCTATTACTACTGAAATTGATATAATATACAATAACCATAAAATATAAAATGTTCACAAAATAGTATTATTAAAATTTACCTGGATACTCTTCTAGAGCTTCTGAGGCTGGGTCTCCTACTTTTTTTTTCTTAAGGACATTAAGAAATCTTAGAGACTAATCCAGTCTGGGATTTTCTCCCTAATTCAGTCATAAGGATGAAAAGAACTGAAAATGGAATAACATTCTGTCTTTACAGTTCAAATTTCTTTAATGTCAAGACCTCATGCCGTCTTCTCTCCTCCCACCTAACACCATCGTAGTGGTAAATGAACCACACTCCAGGACACAAGGGCTTAAACAATCCAAGCCTCTATACCTCATTCAATTACACATGACTATTAAGCAAGGTAATAAAAATGCAAACAGAGCAAAATTGTATATAAACCTCAAGTTACTTATATTTGTTTTTAAAAGTATTTCAGGTTACAGTATACCTAGGAGGTTAACAAGATACAGCAGAAAGCGATTTTAGTCAGACAAGTCTGCACTGTTATCTCATCTCTGATATCCTTTGCAAAATCACTTAAGATCTTTTTCTTCATCTGTAAGGTGGGGATAAAAACACCACCCTCAAAGTTTTGTGATTAGAAAAACTGTATAGAACACCTATTACAATGCCTAGCACCTAGCAGATATTAACCATGCCATGACCCTGTACCTTCTCCTTATTTACATTTGAATTAGTCTGATATTCTAAAAATTCATAATATTTCAAGCTACATAACAAGCAGATAAAGTCTCCTTCTGAGGTTCTCTAAAGATGCGTCTCATTGTCCACGGGAGAGGAGCAGCCCCCAGCCTCAATACCTTTCTGAGGGGAGCCTCTAATGCAATTTTAATTATTTTTAAAATAATGATTTTCTTATTTTTTTTCAAGGGTCACATCAGTCAATTTTAACTCCTTTTACTCTACTTCCCAGATACAGTCTCTCTCTTCCCCTCCTCTCAGCCCTTCCTTTCTCCCTCTTCCCCCCAGGTACACTCCCTGCCCCTCTCCACTGCTTTTCTAGGCCACCCACAGTTGCCCGTGCCCTTACCTGTGGGCGCTGAGGGCAGTGAGAGTGAACACGGACACCCCCACGGAGGTGAGCTGGATCACCTGCATGAGTTTGCAGCCCACCTTCCCGAATATCCACTCGTCAAAGAAGTAGCAGGATTTGTTACCGTATGTAACACATATATGGAATCTAAAGGAAAAAAAAAAAAAGGTCATGCAGAACCTAGGGGTAAGACGGGAATGAAGACAGACCTACTAGAGAATGGACTTGAGGATATGGGGAGGGGGAAGGGTAAACTGTGACCATGTGAGAGAGTGCCATGGACATATATACACTACCAAACGTAAAATAGCTAGCTAGTGGGAAGCAGCCGCATAGCACAGGGAGATCAGCTCGGTGCTTTGTGACCACCTAGAGGGGTGGGATAGGGAGGGTGGGAGGGAGGCAGACGCAAGAGGGAAGGGATATGGGGACATAATGCATATGTATAACTGATTCACTTTATTATAAAGCAGAAACTAACACACCATTGTAAAGCAACTGTACTCCAATAACGATGTTAAAAAAAAAAAAAAAAGGAGCAGGAAGCATCCACAGGGACTCAGGTGATCAGCAGCAGCACGTCCCCAACGGCCAGGTTAGAGATGAAGATGCTGGGGACTCATGGCGCTGTTGGTGATGAAGGTCTTCACCAGCATGATGTTGCCCAGCAAGCCCACTGTGATGATGAGCAGGTAGAGGGACGGGATCACACAGCGGATCACGAACTCCGCAGTGGTCCCGTCCGGGGCGGGTAGGAAATCCCTTTCCGAGACCTCTGGAACGAAACCGCTCTGATTCACGCCCGCGGTCCGGGAGAGGTTGGAAGGAGACTTGGCGGGGGCATGGTCTCTTTCCCAGGAGAGTCCGCTGGAGTTTTCATGAACCCAGGTGCCCTGAAAAGTGCAATGCACTCGGGCTTAATGGATTTCCCTCTTGCCAAGTTTACTTCCCGCGGGGATCGCGTCACACCGCCTTGTCCGGAGGAGGACCGGGCCGGGTGAGAAGACTGGCCATAGGCTCCAACCTTTCACTTTTAGAAGGGGCACGCACATTGGCTCCTGCTGGCTCCGAATATATATATATATTTTTTTAAAAAAAATAAGGAAGAAGTTGAGTCTTTGTTGCAGTCCTCAATGGTTTGTTCTTGCTTATAGATAGCGGAGAACAGCCTTTTTGTGAACAAAGATTTATCCCTCTGGAATACCTGTCAGGGCTTCCCTGGTGGCGCAGTGGTTGAGAGTCCGCCTGTCGATGCAAGCGACACGGGTTCGTGCCCCGGTCTGGGAAGATCCCACATGCCGCAGAGCGGCTGGGCCCGTGAGCCATGGCCGCTGAGCCTGCGCGTCCGGAGCCTGTGCTCAGCAACGGGAGAGGCCACATCAGTGAGAGGCCCGCGTACCGCAAAAAAAAAAAAAAAAAAAAAAAAAAAAAACCTGCCAGACCTTTCTCAGGGAGGGGAGGAAGTCATCTTGTCGCTGTCCAGCGAACCGCCGCTGAAACGCTAGGAACTAGCGTGGGGCGGCTGGCACTTTGCTGGTCCCACAGCTTTGCTCTTGTTTCTGCAGTTCCTGCTGTATTGTGTGGGATTGGAGGGGCTGAGTCCTCTCTCGCACACTGCCTCCCTATATAGATCTATTCTTACTCACCTCCGAGTAGGAGACGCCCCAGACAGAAGTCTGTGAACCTCTGAAGATTTGGGGGCTGAGCTGGTGAGTCCCTGAGGTTCTCGCACTGAATTTAGGAAAGAAAAGGAGTGACAAAAGAGGAAGTAAATGAATGGAATTCCCTCCCTACTTTTCTTCCTTGATCCACTTTTCTCACCCCAAATATAGAAACTTTCCTACTGCTGGCATATTATTTTTTAACTTACAGTTTATTGAAATATAGCATGCATAAGGTACACAATTCTTAAAAGTAAGTTCAGTCTAACCACCATTCAGAATCTACGGTCTAACCACTATCCCCTAATGTCACCACTATTCATTCTGCCTTTTATCATCTAAAGTTAGTTTGCCTGCTTTTGAGAATCATATAAATGAAATTATAAAATGTTTAATCTTGTGTCCAGCTTCTTTTACTCAACATTATAGCTGTGAGATCCACCCACATTTTTGTGGGTAGCATTTTTCATTGCTGTATACTATTCCAGTATAAATATACCACTGTTCAGGTATCCCTTCTAATGTTGATTGACATTTGGATTCTTTATAGCTTTAGCTAATTTGAGTAATGTTTCTGTAAATATCCATGTGCCTGTCTTCTGGTGCACATTGGAATTCCAGACGTGGATTTGCTAGGTCACAATGATTATGTTAAACTTGAGCATAAATTAACAATTTTTCAAAGTGAATTCCAAGTTTTTTTCTTTTGGAAACTTGCTTGACAATACCTATTAAGGTTGAACATATGCATGTCTATGACTGAACAATGCCACCCGTAAGTATTCTCAATATATATCTGATACATTGTTTTAAATAGAATGTCCCTAAGAACGAAATAACTCTCCAAATTAACACCATTTGAGTCTAATATAAACCTCTCAGGAGTGGCACAGTTCTGAAGTTAGCCAAATAACACTTTTTACATTAGGAAAAAACATCTGGCTAATTCTTGGTTAAAGGATAAAACTGTATGATAACAAGAAAATTGGTCAAGGACTGCCTACAATGATCTAGTCATAAGCTGATGAAAAGTGCCAAGCCATATGTAAAATTTAAGTAATTTTTTCAGATGTTGCTGATCAAGAACAGCATTTAATTATCATAGTTTAATTAGACAAGGTAAACATTTGCATTGTAATCAATTTTATGTTTTTCTAACACAATTACAAGTGCTAATTATACTCTTCTTGGATTTCATTACTTAAAATAGTCTGTTATTGAGGTTGGCTAAATAGAATGCTTATATAATACATTTGAATATGTGTTAATGAACTTTATATACCATAGATATCAAGGCAATTAATATTACATATAAGTTGAAAATGTCTCTAGGAATTTTATCTTCAAAGTTATTTAAGTTTTCTCTTTTAGCATCCAATCTCATTATGCAAGCTAAATTAACTACAAAGCAATCTTCTAAATTCTGAAATCTCTCAGCCTTTCAAACTGCAACTACACATTTTAACCTATTTTATATGAAAACGTATTTTAGTCTAAATTGCTGTATGCATAGCTGTATTCTCTTCTGATTGTGTCTGGTTGATGATAAGGACTTAGATAAGAAAAATGTCTCATCTAAAACTGGATTAATAAATACCCAATTGCCTAGATTGTAGAAATAAGGCATCTGAATTATTGATTTTTTTCCATTTCAAGTGAATCCATATGCATTTACTGAAAGGCTTGGGCTCGTAGGAATGGAGAGTATAATAAATGTGTTAATAATGATGGCCTTCCTGATATTTTATTAAAATATGTTATAAAGTTACTGGCACTATGTATGTGTTATTTAGACACATCACCAAGTTACATATAGGTACACGAGTGTTGTCACATTTGTATAGGAGCAATATACATCAGAGATAAATATCTATTGAAGGAACAAACTTGTTTTTGAAATCAATGTGTCATACACTACATTAGATTCCTTAGCATCATGTCTAATTTAACATTTATAAATATTCTATGAAGTAGGTATTTGAATCTTAATTTTACATATGAGACAATCAAAACTCATAGAGACAAGATAACTTTCTTAATTTTATAAAGACATCAGAAAAACTGCATTTTAAAGCTTATTATATTTGACTTCAAAGTCTATTGTATCTCACTGTTCCCAGAGAATAAAAGTGCCTGGGAAAATGTGATTTCTATATAATTGAAGGATATATTTTTAGTACTAAGGTATTCAATGTTTATAAAATATACATTATACATTTCATTGCCTTAAACTGAACAAATGCTTTTCAGAACTATATATAAACATTTCTTGCTATTTCAAATTCATGCAAATAAGTTGGAAACCACAACCAAAAATAAGGACAAAGTCAGTCAATTTAAACTAAGCCAATATTGGCACAGATGATATAATAAGTAGAAAAGGATATTAAAAATGTTAGCAAAACCTTATTTCATGATTTTGAGGAGGAAGAGGAAAACATTAGCATGTAAGGAGAGACATGGAGCATACAAAAATAAATATATTGAATTTATATTGAGATAAAAACAATGTCTGTGATGAAAAATACACTTTACAGGATTAACAGCAGATCAAACACTGCAGAAGAAAAGGTAGAGAATTTGATAATCTAGTAAGAGGAGCTATCTGAAATGAAATACAGAGAGAAAAAGACTGAAAATAATGAACAGAGTATCAGCACACTATATCTGTAACTAGGTCCCTGAAGTACAGGAAAGAAAGGAAGAGGTTTTTTTAATATTTGAAGAAAAAATGGCCCCAAATTTTTCAAATTTGATGAAAGCAAATCCCAGGCAGAAGAAACATGAAGAAAACTCTACCAAGATTGAAAACTAGCAGCTTTTTCCCACTAAGGTCAGGAAAAAGGAAAGGGTGTCCTCCTTCACCACTTTTATCCAACATTGTACTGCAAGTTCTAGGATTGCAATGGGGGAAAAAAAAAGAAAATGAAAGGTATATTGATTAGGAAGGAAGAAATAAAACACTCCTTGTTAGTGAAGGACATGATTGTCTATGTAGAAAATCCAAAAAAATCAACAACAACAACAAAAGAGCTCCTGTAACTAATAAGCAATTACAGCAAGGTTGCAGAATATAAGGTTAATTTATAAAAGTCAATTGCTTTCTTATACACCGGCAATAAGCAAGTGGAATTTGAAATTAAAAACACAGTACCGGGGGCTTCCCTGGTGGTGCAGTGGTTGGGAGTCCGCCTGCCGATGCAGGGGACGCGGGTTCGTGCCCCGGTCCGGGAGGATCCCACATGGGCCCGTGGGCCATGGCCACTGAGCCTGTGCGTTCGGAGCCTGTGCTCCACTGCGGGAGAGGCCACAGCGGTGAGAGGCCCGCGTACAGCAAAAAAAACCCAAAACACAGTACCATTTACACTAGCACCCACCAAAATAAAATACTTTGGTATAAATCTGACAAAATATGTACTAGATCTGAGATTATTAATGCAGATGAATCCATAGGGAACATAACTGGGCTCAGATACTGGAGATCACATTACTTGCAATCAAGGTGGCCTATGGGAGATCCACATAGGTATATTGGGTATATAAAGGTATATTTAGGGGTAACCACTCCCACATGAGTTTGTCTTGGGAAATGGAAAAATTTTCTGTGCAAATGTGTTTCCTAATTTCACTCAGGCAGTTACAATAAAATGGATACAACATATATGGTAGATAAAACAAAACTGGACTACCAGGTCAAAGAGACCATCAGGGGAAATGAGACTAGACATAGGTAAATCAACACAAACAGAATTCACCTTTAATGCAAAGAGACATTCAGAGGATAAAACCTTCTTGCAAGAGTATGGTGCCCCATGATACCTTATTCTAGGGAGAAGGCAAATGAGAGTAAGCTTCTTAGTCTGGTAAAGAAGCTTTAACTAAATTTCTTCCAAAGGGAAGAAATGTTAAGAAAATGTGAATGAACAAAATCGTAGGAAGGAGCTTGTACTCTGAATCGAAAAGAGCTGTTAGATATATTACTACAGATAGAAGCAGAAGTAGCCCAGGATGGGAGGACAATGTCTAGAATGGCAGTGCAAAGAGTCCACATACATTCTCCATAGTGAAACAACCATAATTGGTGAAAATTATAAGTAAACATAAATAATCATTTAATGTCTCTAGAAATTGTCCAAAGTACATACAGCAACTGAAGAAATATTATTCAATATTATCTACTAAATCTAAGTGAAAACATCCAAAGTCTGACATTTGAGACTTGATCCTCTTTTTCTATCCCCCACACTGCTAGCTCTGCATGACAAAACCTCCTCTCTGTGTGGGTGCAACAACAAACACAAGACTCCTTCTGCCCCCATCAGAGGAACCAGTCATTAAGCACCATGAAGAACCATGGTAATGTGATATCACAGACACACGAAAAAGACAATTCTCCAGAAACCAAACTTAAAGTCATGGAATATTATGATCTAACTGATAAAGAATTCAAGATATAATAAAATAAAATAATTTTATTCAGGAATAAAATTAATGAACAGAAGGAATACTTTATCATCAAAGAGATTGAAATTCTAAAAACAAACCAAACAGAAATTCTGGAGTTGAAGAACTCAATAAATGAGATGAAGAACATTGGAAATAGAGAAGACCATATGATAGAGAGTATTACCGAGCTCGAAGATAGAAATATAGAAATGAGACAAGTAGAAGAGGAGGCACAATTAAGATGTTAAAAAATGAAGAAATTCTATGACGGTTATCTGACTCCATTAGGAAGGGCAATGTCAGAATAATGGGTATCCCAGAAGGAGAAAAGAGGGAGAAAAGAGCAGAGTTCATGTAAAGATATAAAATCAGAGAACTTCCCAAACCTGGGGAAGGAAATGAATATACAAGTCCATGGAACTAAGAGAACATCAAATTACCTAAAAGCAAAAAGGACTTCTCCAAGACATATATTAAAGCTGTCAAAATTTAGTGACAAAGAAAGAATTTTAAAAGCAGCCAAGGAAAAAAGAATGGTAATCTACAGAGGAACCTCCATTAGGCTATCAGCAGATTTTTTTCAGCAGAAACTCTACAGGCCAGGATAGAGTGGAATGACACACTCAAAGTATTGAAAGTATTGAAAGATAAAAACTCTCAGCCAGGAATACTCCACACAGCAAAATTATACTTAAGATATGAAGGAGAAATAAAGGATTTCCTAGACAAACAAAAGCTGAGGGAGTTCATCAACACTAGACTTGCCTTACAGGAAATAATGAAAGAAGCTCTTCTATCTGAAATGAAAAGGGAAAAGGACACAAAACTTTGAGTAAGATGATAAATAAACATACAGGAAAAATGCAACTCTGTTGGGATAGTTTGTTAAAAACTTAATTGTAGCACAAAGGTTAAAGGGAAAAAAGCAGTGATAGTACTATAACTACTTCAATTTGGTAACAAACAACAAGAAAAGGGATAATTTGAGACAAAAAAATCAAAAATGGGGAAGAGGAAAAGCATGGAACCCATATAGGCAAATGAAGATAAGATGCCATTAGCAGAAAAAGGACTATTTTATCTATGAGACAGTTTACACAAACCTCATGGTAAGCTCATGTCTTTCAAAAATAGGCAGGATTATAGTTTCTTGGGAGTTAGTAGCTCCCAAGAATTTCATTTGAATTCTGAATTTTGTGCTTAAAGGAATCACCACAATGTGATTCAACATTTTCCCCTCTTGCAGCATATGACTGGAAAGTAGTTCATAGGGGCAAACAACTTGACTTAGTTTTCAGTAGAAGGTGCTTTATTTTTTTCAAATATTATGAAGTAAACATGAAAGAATAAATATTATCTTCAAATTCAATATAAAGTAAGAATTGAATAAATCTCAAAAATCATTGGATGTGGCATCAGCACTCCTCAAATAAGAGACAGGATGACTAGCATGTCTTTACCCCCTAAATTCTTATTACTAAACTATAACGTATCTTCACGGGCAGTAGGAGTTGACAATTCAATATTTTGTGTCTCATTAGCTCCACCTACTGAGTGCTGGTCGCATTTCAGAAATAGTTACAAGTAAATGCAAAAGGAACCAAATCAAAGTAACAGAAGGATGACAACAGAATGATTGTATCTCAGCATTTCTTTTAATCCGTGCTATTTGAGTAGACATGTAGTAGCCAGAGCAGTGACCGTCAGGTCAAAAAAAATAAGAATTATCTTTAAATTTCATTTATATGACACTTAATTTGATTAAAATATTTGACAAAAGCAAATATTAAGCCATACCAGCCTTACTCATCAGAATTATAATAAAAATTATATAAAAAATTCATGTGAAAAATCTTTGCAAACCACAAAACACTAAAAAATTTAAAACATTCTATACAATTTAACCCATAATGGAATGCCATTTTGTTTTAATTTTTTTCAAAAAACTTTAAAATGCTACAACTGAACTTATGATCTAAGCTAGGCTGTTACTTTAACTTTGATTAATCAAAAAATTTGGGAAAGCTGAAATATTTCATTTCACTGGAAAGAGATTTTCCATATTTGATGCTTAAACCCCTTTCTTAGTATTTTCTCATATCTAAAAATAAAGGGGGGGGTATTTTTATAGCCTAAAGTCATATTTTATTTTTCAGTTTTGAAAATGCATTGAATCATACACACTGAACATGGTGTATTAAGACTCAGTTGATGAAAATGGAGTGGTAATTCAAACTTCTGACTTCTCTGAAACAACTGAAAGAGTCAGGAAGCACATGAAGAACTTAAAAGTGGTTAAGTATCAAGTTTATTGATATTCAACAATTTTGTCTGAACATTTCCTTTTCACGTAGAGCCTTTGATGTTTTGAAAATATAAACATAGCCAAAATATTGAAGTCACTAGTAGTCTCCAAATGCAAATACATGAATATTTAGCAGAAATCTTCCTTTGGCTCAATTCCTTCCTACATTCGCATTTTCCTGGCTGTAAACCTCTGGTGATGCCCCCAGAGGTTTCTCAGCATGAAGAGCCCAATTATGAAATGGGAAAAGCTCACTCAAAGCCTATACATGCAGTTACAAAGTGCTCTGGAGAGGTTAAAAAACTGATAAGAATTTGGTCCACTGAATATAACCTGCAGTGATATTGCTAGAGAAGACAAGAATTTGAATGCACATAGGTTGGAAAAATAAATTACCTCGTTGCCTTGAAGGCAATCTCCTTGGGTCGAGGCTAAGACCTTTTTCTTTGGTGTTGTGTGGAGAATTATCTCTATCACTTTTTTTTCTCCACATAACTAGGTGGTTTGTGGTCAGTAATCTGCTATTTTTTCACAAATTGTCTTTCAAAAAATGGAAAGGGTTCTCATTAGTTGAATGGAAATGATTGATCATGATAACAAATGTCTTTCTCAAAATCCATCATGACTTTAAATCAAGGTCAGGGTATGAATAGGACTTCTACCTTCCTCATATTTATTTTCTCTCTCTAGGTTTTATGTCAGTCTGTGTCTAGCTAATGTCAACAGCAGAAGAAAATAACATCATGCTTCAAGAAATGCAGTCTTGTTAATATTTATTTAAGAGGTACTGACTTGATCATAAGAAAACATTTCAGTCAAAAAAAACCCAAAAATGTACTTGTGTCTACAAATACATTTAATTTCTATAGCAGAAACTTTAATTCAAGGAGAAAATAGACTAGTCCTGAGACTAAGGATGGTGGCACAAAACATAATATTTGTAAAGGTCAGTACAACTTACTGTTTAGGGTTTCTATGCCAAATAACTTGCTAGACAGTTTACATTCATTATCTCATGTCGTATTCTTACCAACACTATGAGCTCCATACTATTATGCTTGTTTTACCAGGAAGAAAACTAAATTTAGAGAGGTAAACTAACATAATCCAAGGTCATCCAGCTAGACAGTGACAGAAGAGAGAACTGAAGTCTAGTGAATCTCCATTCACTAGGAAAAATGCATCCTGGCAAGCAGCTACATGTGATAGGATTAAGAAATACTTTTTTCTAATTCACTTAGAATCAGAGTCAGCTCACCTAGCTGTGCGCCTGTGGGACTGTCTGCCCAAATTGCGTGATTCTTTCTCATTTATACAAAAATGTCCAGGGATCTAGTACCAGCCCCGTGTGGTGGCAAATGTTCTACAACTTCAGGGAGAAGTTTGCTTTTAGCTCAGTTGATCAGAAATAGGATCATACACATAAAATTTAAACTTAGCCTGACAAAAAGTATAGAATTTTAACTAGGAAGATGAAGAGTGGGAAGGTAAAGTAGGACATTTTTTTGGAAAATGCAAAGGATCCACCCATTGTTCTGTGTATTCTCTTAATCTCACAAAAACATATACCTACCCAAACACATACACCCACACCCACACAAAAACATATCTTCAGCCTACAATTACTATAGGAAGCTGTGCATAGAATATTTGGCTCAAAGGGAGTGTATAGCATTATTAAAACCTTGTTTGAATGCAGATAAAGTTCTTCAAGGGGTTCTATTTTTAGAACCTTTTATGAAGAACTCATGCTCAAACGGTACTTTCACTAACAGTCTTGAAATTCTAGAAGGTTGTTGATGCTTTTGAGTTGTGACATAGCAGGAATCAGGGGAAGGTCTCTATATCATATCTGTGATACCACTTGATTCCAAATTACTCTGTCTACCAACTCCAGGGTCTTGCTTTTTCACAAGATCTCCTTGTGTCATTTGACAATTGATAAGCAATTTTCAGCCAGGTGTGACTTAGGCATTCTTTTAGTTCCTTATCCATCAAATCTCCATTCATAACTGTTACATATCTCAATAGATTTAAGATCTATTGGCATAAAATCATTTTTCAGATTATTATTATTGTAAATTGTATCCAGTGAGGCAAATAACCCCATAATTATTATCTTTGTAGTTAACATAATTGCTTTAAACAAATTAACTTATAACATCATCATTAGAAACCTTCCACCTCACCCAAAATAAGTTAAGTCTTACATACATTTTTTTTTTTTTTTTTTTTTTTTTTTTTTTGCGGTATGCGGGCCTCTCACTGTTGTGGCCTCTCCCATTACGGAGCACAGGCTCCACACGCGCAGGCTCAGCGGCCATGGCTCACGGGCCTAGCCGCTCTGTGGCATGTGGGATCTTCCCGGACCGGGGCACGAACCCGTGTCCCCTGCATTGGCAGGCAGACTCTCAACCACTGCACCTCCAGGGAAGCCCTTACATACGTTTTATAGATAAAAAGTGTTATCAGGAACGTGCAGCCCATAAACTCACCTTAAATTGTTTGTATCTCAAAAACATAAATGATGGGACTGGTTTCTTTCGTTGCAGTGTACAAGGATCTTGTGATGATAAGGTCACTAGACATTCACAAAACCTTTCACTACATCTTGAAAAGTATGTACCCTGAACATATAAAGCTGGATAAATCATTCCTTCTAGAACTATCAGAGACCACGTGATGGTTTTTGTTCATCTGACTCATAAAACTCGAATAATTATAGTCAGTAGCATATTTATATAATCATCTCACATATGGTTTCATATTTTACCAGCTCCAATACATTTGCATCCTGAGATCTATATTAACATTTTAAAGGTAAATTAGCATATCCTAATACTTAATAAGTAGGAATTCGTAGAAAAAGGGATGTTAAAATTTGCTTCTAAAAGGGAGAAAATATGGTTTATATATTAAGTGTTCATAGCAGGAAAGTCATTAATCAGCTTTCAAAAGCTAAATTTGTCTCAAGCTCATTATTATTCAAAGCAATGAATTTTCCTTGGTAACATGTCACAAAGGGAATAAAGAATGGAAGTTCTAATGATAGCCCAGCAATTTAGAACAGGGTTTTAATTCAGTAATCTGGAGTTTATGCACATAAGACTGATTATATGCACCAAAGTTTGATTCTACAAGCATTTCATAAATTAAAGGAATGCTATGTATTTCAACAATGCAAAATATGATTCAGTATATACTGAAATTAAGAAACAGTTGGAGTATACTGCTTTGCCAAATATAAAAGAATCATACTTTTCTCCACACTAAAGCATGCAACAAAAGCACTTACAATTTCTCACTATGTCCAACATTGGAAAATTGCAGCAAATTGATCACTTATAGAAACTATACTGATGAAAATCGGGGTGAAATAAAGGATAAGCACTGACAAATGAGTAATATTAAGATTGGACTTCTGAGTTTGACTCTGTAGCAAATAATTTCACAAAAACCATTGACTGTCAGATGTTTAGTTCCCTGCAGATACTTGGTTCACAGAAAATAAATTAATAAAACTGAGCATGAATGAATTTTAAAATTTAGTATTTCTCAGGAAGATGAGTAAAGCCTACAATTAATAAATCTAAAGGGTCCCGTTACAGCGCCATAATGCTCACTAACTCCTTCGGTATTGAAGTAATTTGAAATAATATGAAAACTTGGGCATGTTAAAGGTATATGCTAATACACTCATATCTGTAGTCATCACTAAGTTATTACTAAGAATATTAATCCTGTGCACATAGCCAACCCTAATACCTAAGTTTCTCATTTGCTAATGGCAATTTGTAATAACT